GGGGTTTTTAGTGCAGTAGATGCTGTAGATTCTGTCTGGGCTGATGTTCAGGTGCTATAGGCCAGCAGGTCACACAGCAGCTTGCTGTAGGGAGGGTTCTGCATGCCGCTAATCTTGTGGGTGCTATGCTGGCTTTAGAGTACACAGGGCTTGCTTGAGCCACGGGGAGACCATGTACTGCGATGTACAAGGCTGACTTGCCAGTGGCGTTCACCAGCTGCTGGGTGAGCTCAGAGAGGAGCCCGTTAGGCACCTAGGCAAGAAATATGTCGATGTTCACCACGAATATCCCCATGATGGCAGAGGGACCGACCCAGGTGTATAACTGTAGCTGGGCAACCTCAGGAAGTATGCTTTAAGTTGTGAAAGGCAACCAACTGAAGGCTGAGAATCAATCGTTAGCATTGTAATATCTGGAGACCTATTTAGGATGTTCAGGAACTATATCCTCTCCTTCTACATAAGTGTTTGCTGAGAGTCAACTATATGCCATGCCCTGAGAATACAAAGTGAAAAGGCATCACCTGGGCCCTCAGATTGCTTTGTCTAGTTGGAGATCAGATACTTAGATACTTCTTTTTTTTTTTAAATATTTTATTTATCTTTAGAGGGGAAGGGAAGAGGGAGAGAAACATCAATGTATGGTTGCCTTTCGTGGGTCCCCTGCTGGGAACTGGCCTGCAGGGAACCGGTCTGCAACCCAGGCATGTGCCCTGACTGGGAATTGAACCGCGATTGTTTGGTTCGCAGGCCTGCGCTCAATCCACTGAGCTACACCAGCCAGGGCTTAGATACTTCTAATGGAAGTATATATAAAGAACACAGAGGACAGAGTATTCAATACATGAGGGAGATATGAAAGACTTCATAGAATTTGTTCATATCAAAAATAAGATTTTGGGAGTCCAGAAGGAGGACAAGCTGGGAAAACTGATTTTGGGCTTTGGAAACCCAAGAAAGCATGCTTTTGGGTAAAACCAACAAAGAACAAACTGAAGAGTAAGTGAAAGTAGTGGACAGAAATGGAAGATGAGCTTGAATCAGAGCAGGTCAGATAATGAAGAGCCTTGACTACTATGCTGGAACATTACTACTTACCATTGGGTTGGGCAAAAAGTCCGTTGTTTTCCATAAAATAGAAGACACATTTTTCATTTTCACCAATAACTTTATTGATTTGGATATTTTGAATATGTCAGCTCCCTTCCTTGTGGTATGACATTGATTGTTCTCAATTAATGTCTTGATTTGATCACTACAAACTTCAATTGCTCTATCAAACTGTGGAGCATAGTCCAGTGAGAAATTTTCAGTGAGAAATCTCCCGCACAAAATTTTGCAAACCACTTTTGACATGTTCTATCACAGCACTTCCATATACTGCACAAATCCTTGTTTGGCATTTCAATTGTTTTTACCTTTCTTGAAATAATAAACCATAATATGCCAAAAAATTGTGTATTTTCAACATTGAAATAGCTACACAAAACTTACTAATTTGATTTTTTAATTTATTTTATTTTTCAAAAATTTTATTCATTTATTTTTAGAGGGTGAGGGAAGAAGAGGGAGAGAATAGCCAAGTGTGGTTGCCTCTCGCATGCCCCCTACTGGGGACCTGGCCCACATCCCAGGCATGTGCCCTGACCTGGGAACTGAACCAGTAACCCTTTCAGTTCACAGGCCGGCCCTCAATCCACTGAGCCACACCAGGGCTGTTTTTTTTTTTTTTTAAATGCACACTGGTATGACAGTTGTTACAACGTAATCTAACAAAATTATTTTGAATGAAGTTAAGACAACTAAGTGCTACTGGAGCCATCGTATGGGAAAAAAATGAACTTTTTGGTTAACCAAATACATGTGAATCTTTCATATTATACAGCAAGTAATAATTCATGTTGTTTTTTAAGATTTTATTTTTAGAGAGAGAGGGGAAGGGAGGTAGAAATAGAGAGAGAAACATCAGTGTGTGGTTGCCTGTCATGTGGCCCCCATTAGGGACCCAGCCCACAACTCAGGCATGTGCCGACTGGGAATTAAATCTGCAACCTTTTGGTTCACAGGCCATGCTCAATCCACTGAGCTACACCAGCCAGAACTGTAATTAGTGTTTTTACAAGTAGGTTTTATAGTGAAACAATTCTCAAATGATCCACATTGCTTTTTAAATGGTCATTAGGAGTTATTTGAATGATTTGCGAGAACTTGAAATATGTTTATTCATTTTGCGTGTGTGTTCGAAAGAAAATTTGTTCAGATTTTCACGGGTGAAATGAACTAGATGGATCATGTCCATTTGTTTTCAGGGACCATCAATTAGCACTTGTTGAGGACATCCTTCACTGGCCAAGTTCTGAATTCTTGGAGATGCAAAGAGAGAGTATTGTGAAAAGGATGATGGCTCTTAAATTTCGAGTGGAAATCTAAGTCTTTTCTCCAGGACCTGGGATAAAACCAAACATGAATTCCCATTTTCTGGGAATAGCTTATAACCATAAAGGGACTAGCTTATAACCATAAAAAAAAAAAAAGCACAATTTTGGAACTAAACAGAACAGTTATAATTTAACTGAAGGATCTGAGCCTCACTTTGCTCATTTGTAAAAGGGATGGCAGTTCCTTAAAATGGTTGAAAGGATTAAGTTAGACAATATCTGTGAAATGTTAAGAGGATTGCTCTACAACGTTAGTCCCCCACCCTAATTCCCAGTTTAGGTGTGGTCTTTTGCTGAACACATTGAATAGCTACTAGAATCTCCAAAGCTTGGTTTACAAAGATGAGTAATGTAGTTTCTTCCCTCCAGGAAGTTTCTTCCCTTTTGGAAGTTCCTTCTCTCCAGTTTCTTCCCTTAGTGTTTCTTAAGAACTGGTTTAGGAACTATACACTTTGAAAGAGCTACTTAAAAATGCATACTCTCATACCCCACTCTGGAGAATCAGATTTGTTAGGTATGAGATGGAGTCTAAGAATCTACATTTTAAAAAAAGCTCACAGGATTCTGATACTGTCTGACATATTTTGAGAAGCTTTGATCTAGGGAAAGATGCTGTTAATTATAATGTAATGGAATGTTTTATAATAAAAGTATACAAGAGAGTGATGCCATTTGAACTGTCCTTGAAGTATGGGCGGGAATTTTTTCAGGCTAGAAGGCAACAGTAAATAAAAAAGCATTTAAAAAGAATAAAGGCTCAGACCCCTCTTGGGAGGCCATGGGGAAGGACCTCCTTGAGTTGGGAGGAAAAAAAAAACAGGTGGGAAAAGTCAGGGATGGAAGGAAGCATAAAAATGCCTCCTTTTTAGTTTTATTAAGCCGGTTTTTAAAATAAATGATTATAAATTGACTTCCTGTGAGACACTTCTGCGTTGGATTCTGGAACTACAACTCATTAGCTTTGTCACCTTGGGCAAGTTATGTTCCGGTCTTATTTCTTCACTTATAAAATACATATCTCTAATACTAATGTCTTCCTTATGACGATGACATAAGGAATAAAAAATGCCTAATTAATTGATCTAGGCACCTAAGATCCCACAATCACTTCAACATCTTCAGGCCCTGGCCAAAGCAGAAGAGGTCTGCTTTAGGAGGATCCATACTTTAAAACGTGACAACCTATCATGAAGAGCCGAATTTGTAGATAAGGAAGTGGTAACATGTAATATACAAGTGCTAAAAGAGAATGACTTCATCATATTATTAACAAGCCACCCAGGCCATTTCCACCAAAACTGGGATAAAGGAGAAGCAGAACAAGGGGCCAGAGATTCAGGTGCCTAAGGGGAAATCTCCTTTAACCTTTATAGTTGCAAGAAGCTGGCTCTATCCTATCTTGTTTTGTGCACAAACCGTATTTACAATTAAGTGTGGGAGCAAGTAAGTGGCTTACAGGACCTTGACTCCGGGAGGTTCTCCAATGCACTTCAGCCTCTAAGACAAGCTCTTGAAAATTTAACCCGCCCTGGGTTTTTTTTTAGAACCCAGCGTTTGCCAGTCTCACAAAAACCTTGTAAAGTGGTCAGTTCAGTATTGACTGATGGTGTGACCGCCGAGCCAGATTTCAGTGTCTGCACCCCCATCGTTTACTCCCACGTTCAGAGGCATCCGCCTGCCTCTCAGCCCAGCCTGGGAGGGGTGAGTACTATTAAGGGTCCTTAAACGAAGACTTAAAGGAACCCTGGTAGGCATAACTGCGCGTCGAATTTCTTGGTCCCGACACTTGTTGAGCTCGAGGGCTCCAAAGCAGCGTACCACCTAGTTACTCTAAAGACGTCCCCTGAGGAGGACCAATATGGCGATGGAACTTCTCTTGGCACAACCTTGTTACCTCCCCGTAACAGGCAGTGTTAGTAACGCCCATTGGCCAAGATGGAGGCGGTGTCTGGCTTCCTTCACCCCCTCATTGGACTGAGTGACTGACGGAGACGCCAATTTTCCCCCGCCTACTCTGAATTCCCGCCCTCAAAGTTCATTCGGCGTTTAATTGGCTTTTATTTCCCGTCAATTTGCGTCTTATCTTGTCACTTTTCAGGGTTAATCCAATCATAACTTTCCTGGCTGCCCGCCTGACTTCTAATAGGTTTTGATCAACCCATTCCTACCTACTTCTTATCTCTTCCTCCCACCAGGACTTTGCTCAGGCACGTCCCAGATTCTGGTTGGTCGTTGATGTGTCATTCCAATTGAAGCTCTTCCTATCACTACATCTCAGGGAGCCCGCCTGGCGGCTGACTGGTTTTTTCCCAAGCCTATCACCTCTAGTCCCGCCTACTTTCACTTCCTGCGGCTTTCATTGGGCTTTAAAACTGAGAAGGCGGCCTTTTAGGGCGGACACCAGGCACGCAACTTTGTCTTACACGCCTAAGAGAGCAAGCGAGTCTTGCCATTGGATTACCTGACTGCTTTTCTTCTGCAAGTCCCTCCTTTCTCCCTCCCTCATTGGGCGGGGCAGCAGCGAAGGGGCGGGGTCTAGGCCGGGCTTGTGGCGCGCTGCTCCCTCCTCCTTACCCCCCCCTCCCTGTCCGGTCCGGGTTCGCTTGCCTCGTCAGCGTCCGCGTTTTTCCTGGCCCCCCCCAACCCCCCCGGACAGGACCCCCTTGAGCTCGTCCCTCAGCTGCCACCATGAGCGGTAAGGATGAGTCCACTCCAGGTTTAGGGGTGGTAGGAAATGAGGGGGCGCGCGCGAGGGCCGACCGGGCGGTCCCCGCCGTGAGGGGGGGCGGGCGGGAGGCGGCGGCGGCGGCCTTGGTCCCGCCCGGGGCGGAGGGAAGGGAGGGAGAAGGGGCAGTGGCGGGGCCTCCGAGGAGGAGGGGGATGGGCCGCCCGCCCCGGGGGAGGGGGCAGAGTGGCCTCTCCCGCCCCCTGCCCGCCCCGGCCACGGGGGGACGGGCCTTACCCCCCACTACTCCACCACCCGCCTGAGGCTCCTCCCGTCGGGGGCTGGAGCCACGGGGGCGGCCCGAGCAGTGCAGGCCCCGCCCGGGCCAACCGCCTCCCTGGTCCGCCCTCTGGTCGCTGCCTGCCCCAGGGCCCTCCACCCCCCCTCGCTCCATCCCTAGGTTTCCCCTCCCCCCTACCGTCCCGCCCTTTCCACGCCCCTCACCCCGAAACCGCCCTTTCCCTCTAGGGTCCGCCCTCAGTCCGCCCTGAAACCTGATTTCTAATCCTTGGACCCCAGGAACCCTTAACACAGTGTTCATAAATGTTTTACCACTCACACTTTTTACTTTTCTCCTTGCCCCTCTTTCTTGGAACTTTTTACATTTGAATTTCTCTCTTTCTCCGTCTCCTTTGACTCATTTGATCAAGCTTTCTGTCCACCCACGTTTTTTGCCTTACCTATTCTCCCCGCCATACTTTTTCTTACCTTGAAACTTTAAACATGCCCACTGCCTTTAATGTTTCCTATACCCAAAGCATCTTTTTCATGTTTTCTGAGTTTAAGTTGGTGCAAAGGAGAACTGAAGCCCAGTTTTGGCATCACTGAGCCTACCTAGTTCATGTCCTACACGTTCTACAACTGTCCCTTCTCCCCATCCATTCCTCCCCCCCTCCAGGGGTGCTTTCCACCTTCCTGTTAGTCATGTCTGTTTTATCATGATCTCCTTATCCTTTTCCTTCCCCCAACTTTAAGTTGTTTATTTTTAATTCTCTTTAGACCAAGATCACTCCATGGATGAAATGACAGCTGTGGTGAAGATTGAGAAAGGAGTTGGTGGCAATAATGGGGGCAATGGTAATGGTGGTGGTGCCTTTTCTCAGGCTCGAAGCAGCAGCACAGGCAGTAGCAGCAGCAGTGGAGGAGGAGGAGGAGGACAGGTAAGCAATGATTAGGCTGGACTGGGGAAGGTGTTGAGAGGATGGTTATTTTTTCACAGAGTAAGTTTTAGGAAGGGGCTAACCATTTTATAGTTAGAGAAGTAAGTATAGAGAGACAAGTGACTTGGAGATAACCCGAAGATGAAAATTTCAGCAATAGAGTTAATCAGCCTTTTGTTTGGTTTTTTTGCTCTTCGATTGCACTGCTTTGCTGTTTATTTGTTGTATATTGCTGTCTAGGCTGGTAGCTGGATGTCACTAAACTAATTCTTTTCCTCTCATATTTTGAACAGGAATCCCAGCCATCCCCTTTAGCTCTGTTGGCAGCAACTTGCAGCAGAATTGAATCACCTAATGAAAACAGCAACAACTCCCAAGGCCCAAGCCAGTCAGGGGGTACAAGTGAGCTGGACCTCACAGCTACACAACTCTCACAGGGTGCCAATGGCTGGCAGATCATCTCTTCCTCCTCTGGGGCTACTCCTACCTCAAAGGAACAGAGTGGCAGCAGTACCAATGGCAGCAATGGCAGTGAGTCTTCCAAGAATCGTACTGTCTCTGGTGGGCAGTATGTTGTGGCTGCCACCTCCAACTTACAGAACCAGCAAGTCCTAACAGGACTACCTGGTGTGATGCCTAATATTCAGTATCAAGTAATCCCACAGTTCCAGACCGTTGATGGGCAACAGCTGCAATTTGCTGCCACTGGGGCCCAAGTGCAGCAGGATGGTTCTGGTCAAATACAGATCATACCAGGTGCAAACCAACAGATCATCACAAATCGAGGAAGTGGAGGCAACATCATTGCTGCTATGCCAAATCTGCTCCAGCAGGCTGTCCCCCTTCAAGGCCTGGCTAATAATGTCCTCTCAGGACAGACTCAGTATGTGACCAATGTACCGGTGGCCCTGAATGGGAATATTACTTTGCTACCCGTTAACAGTGTTTCTGCAGCTACCTTGACTCCTAGCTCTCAGGCAGTCACTATCAGTAGCTCTGGGTCCCAGGAGAGTGGCTCACAGCCCGTCACCTCAGGGACTGCCATCAGTTCTGCCAGTTTGGTATCATCACAAGCCAGTTCCAGCTCCTTTTTCACCAATGCCAATAGCTATTCAACAACTACTACCACCAGCAACATGGGAATTATGAACTTTACCACCAGCGGATCAGCAGGGACCAACTCTCAAGGCCAAACACCCCAGAGGGTTAGTGGGCTGCAGGGTTCTGATGCTCTGAACATCCAGCAGAACCAGACATCTGGAGGCTCACTGCAAACAAGTCAGCAAAAAGAAGGAGAGCAAAACCAGCAGTCTCAGCAACAACAACAAATTCTTATCCAGCCTCAGCTAGTTCAAGGAGGACAGACCCTCCAGGCCCTTCAAGCAGCACCATTGTCGGGGCAGACCTTTACAACTCAAGCTATCTCCCAGGAAACCCTCCAGAATCTCCAGCTTCAGGCTGTTCCAAACTCTGGTCCCATCATCATCCGGACACCAACAGTAGGGCCCAATGGACAGGTCAGTTGGCAGACTCTTCAGCTGCAGAACCTGCAAGTTCAGAACCCACAGGCCCAGACAATCACCTTGGCCCCAATGCAGGGTGTTTCCCTGGGGCAGACCAGCAGCAGCAATACTACCCTTACACCCATTGCCTCAGCTGCCTCTATCCCTGCGGGCACAGTCACTGTGAATGCTGCTCAACTCTCCTCCATGCCTGGCCTCCAGACTATTAACCTCAGTGCTTTGGGTGCTTCAGGAATCCAGGTGCACCAGCTTCCAAGCCTGCCATTGGCTATAGCAAATGCCCCAGGTAAGGCTTCTAATTTTTTTTGTCTTTATTTCCAGACTGAACTAGCACTTCAGCTGAAATTGTTCATTCCAAAGAAAGGCATAGAACCTTTTGGGGGTAACACTTTCTTGGCAAATCAATTAGAGAAATGGCGATGATTCTATGTAAGTCATTCAGATATATTTAATAAACTTTTTTTTTCCCAGTTGCTCTGATGAAAAAGAGGCACGTTCTCTTTTCTTGTAAGGGCAATGTCCCTGGAGTCTCTGTATTTCCAGTGCCTTTAGTACTACAGAACAAGGATTGCCAAACTCTTCCTTTTTTTTATTTTTAAAATTTATTTTAAAGTTGAAGGAAGAGACAGAGAAACATTGATTTGTTGTTCCACTTATTTATGCTTCCTCGATTGATTCTTATATGTTCCCTGAGCAGGGATCCAACCCACAATCTTGGCATATTGGGATGATGCTCCAACCAAGGCCTTGAGCTACCCAGCTAGGGCCTTGGCAAACTTTTTCTGTAAAGGGTCTGACAGCATGTATTTTAGGCCTAATGTTGTACATATGAACTCAGTTGCATATTGTTGTTGTTGGTGGTTTTTTACAACCCTTTTAAAAAAAATTTAAAACTGTTCTTAGCCTGAGAACTTTATTTGGCCTGTAGGGTCTACTCTTACATGAGATAAGAATTGATTATTAACTTAACCTGTTTATAGGACAATTTGTTTGTTTGTTTACGAGGGGGGAGAAGGAGAAAGAGAGGAAAAGAAACATCAATGTGTGAGAGAAAAATCAATTGGTTGTCTCTCACGCCCCCAACCAGGGCTCTAGCCTGCAACTCAGGTATGTGTCTGACTGGGAATCGAACCAGCAACCTTTCAGTTTGCAGGACAATACTCAACCCGCTGAAGAATGTCAGTTAGGGCTATAGGACAGTTATTAAGTCATCAGGCATTTCTCATGAAGAACTGTAACTCCTAAGTGAGGGGAAATGTGACATAAATGATTCCAGAAGGATTTTTTGTAAACAGAATAAGTTCTGTGGTTAGTCTTTAGTTGACCAGAATATTCTACTCTGAGCAAGCTGTTTACTCAAGGTTTAATTTTTTAAACTCCTAGTTAGCTTAAAAGTTCACCCATCTCCCTTTATAAACTTCCTAGGTGATTCCAATACTTCCTAAATAAGAGAATCACTTCCTAGACTGCTTTGAAAGCAGTGTATGGTTGAGGAAGGAGTGGAGAGAAAAGGAGTGAGGTCTGGAATGGAGTGGGGAGGTGGTATTGAGAGGAGTTAGGAAAAAGAATATGGAAGGAGAAAAGTGTGTACAGGGAAGAGGTATATATATGTTTTGAATCAGTTAACCACAATATTCAGTCATTCACACTTTTTTAAGAGAGGGAGGGAGGGAGAGAGGGAAACATTAATTTGTTGTTCCATTTATTTATATATTCATTGTTTGATTTCTTGTGTGTGCCCTGACCAGGGATCAAACCTGCAGCCTTGGGGATACTCTATAACCAACTGAGATACCTGGCCAGGGCCTCAGTCATTGACTTTGAACTAGGCTTTATAATTGGTTAATTTGAAATTTAAACCATATCTATTTAAAAAGGTGACAGTCTTTTTTAGAATCAGTTGTTTTAAATTTTATTGTAAGGGCCCTGGCTGGTGTGTGACTTAGTGGATTGAGTGCTGGCCTGCAAACCACAAAGCATCTCTGGGCAGTCAGGGCACATGTCTGGGTTGTGGGCCAGGCTCCCAGTTAGGGGTTTGTGAGAGGCGAGTCCTACATTGACGTACCTCTCCCTCTCTCTAGAAATTAAAAAAAAAAAATTAAATAAGTTTCATTGTAAGGTAGTTGATCTTTACTAAAACACGATAAAAGGATATATATACTTATTTTCCTACATACACATTTTCATATGCTAGTGTGATATATAAAATTATGATGGGAAGTTGTTTAATACCGTTGATATTCTGGTTCTATTTAAATAGGTGTGGGCATATGAATTGTTTACTTTTTATGATAGCGTTTTAATTCCATTTAGACTGGTTCTTATGTAAGTGAGGATAACAAATAGGCAGCCATATTGCCTTCTGCAGTTTTGGAAAATATCGGGGGTCAAGTTCCCTAACTTACTTACATTCTTATGGTGTGTTTAATATGACTACATTTTGAGCTTTAACAAAACAGTAAGTTTCTTAGTGATGTTAGAGTAGAAAGTTGGAGCTGAAAGGGACCTAAGAAATCATCCAACAAACTACTTTTATTTTCTTAGTGAGAACATTGAGATACTAAAAAAGCACTTAAATGATGAGATTACAGCCAGAACTTGGGCTTGTGGTTAGTTCTACTGTACAGTATTTCATTACCTGTTAGTTTGAAGTCTGGACTTGAGAAATCTTTTAGATTGTTGAAAGTGTGTATCTTTGCTTCTTTGAAACTTAATGTTTTAGAGCTGGCAAGTATTTTATAGGCTAAAAACTATGAGGAAATTTTAATAGAAACTGAAATTAACAGCCTGGAAAATTAGATACTATCTGGCTAATCTACATTAGCATGTTTGTTTTCTCCTTGCTCTGAGGTTGTATCCAGCAGTTTGCTTTTCTTCAAAGGAAAGCAAAGCTATGGAATTGTTCCCATTAATAATCATTTGGATCCTTGTAATTTCTGAAAGGTTTATAACTTAAGCTCTAAAGGATAGCTATGAGGTGCTCTCATTGCTAAATCATGCTCTGGGGAAGTCTGCCATTTAATATGTCATGGGATAGGGCTACCTAGTTGTTATTGATGGTCTTTGAGTTCAAGTAAATGCATGTGTTTTATAAGGTAGCAGCAGCTTGATATTCACTAATGAGAAGATGAGGCACTGAAAGGCCATTTTGTGAGAGTTGAGGTTGTTTGCTTCGTTAATAGTGGTTTCTGAAAATACAAGTTTCCTCCTTTCTGGTTAGTCATACTTGTGCAGCATTTTTTTCCCTTCAATTGATCTGACTTTAATCTAAATGAAAGATAATAAAATTATTTTCTTGAGGCTTATTACTGTTCAGCTGTTGCTTGGCTGCTACAAAGTGTCTCGATTTACCCTCTTTTCTGGTAATACAGTTATTTTACTAGAAAAACTCAACCCACTGGCATTAGTAGGATAATAGATGGCACCTACAAAGTGGGACACTTTTGAAAGACTGCAGCCCCCATGATGTTCACTTGGTCTGTTTACCTTTATTATTTAAAAAAAATAAATCTCTAAGCTCTCTTGTTGACTTTCACCCTTGTTTACTTCTGTTTGCTGAATACACAGGCAAAGGTACAAACTTAGAAACAAACCAGCCACTTCTGTATTCCTGTTTTTCATGGCTCACCTCTGGTGGGTAGTAGTGAGGAAGGGACCACCCAGTAAACTAGTTTCAAGACAGTGAAATATTTATGGGCTCTTAGTTTTTGTTTTATTTTAAAAGTTGTCAGCAACATTTTCTTTTTTTCTTTATATCATTTCCCCTTTATGAGCATCCTTTCCTCTCATTTTGTACTCATATTCATAGACCTTGTTTTTGTTTTTTAAGTTTAAAGCTTCAGGGTTCCTCCCCTCCCCCCACCCAGCAAAGGGGTAAGTCCTGAAAACTCTTACCCTAGGTTGAGTGGGGGTCGACTGAGTTTGTGACTTCGTGGGAGTTCTGCCTAATAAAGAGTGTGGGACAGGGCTTTGGCAAGAGAGTAGAACACATTTCCTCAATAGCTATAATTCACTCATGAAGCAAATTTCAGACACTAAAAATAAAAATTTCACATCTGTTTGGTTTTATCAGGGTCAGGAAAATGTCTCCTTAGAAGTTAAGTTGAATGTGATACCAGAGTTGGTTTTGCCAACAGTGTCGCTAAACTTGGGGTCAGATTGCTAAGACCTAATTTGTTAAAAACTTGTATTTTAGACTGGTGTATTTGAACATTAGTGGTAAGTGGGTTTTGATGATTTAAATGTGTTCAGAATTATTCTAGTGCAAAAGGTCATAATAGAATTTTCTATTTTAAAATAATAAAATCAAATCTATGTTTCTGCATCATTTGGTTTCTTTATTAAATATTATTTCTTAGGATGGTGTTGGTGCTTTTTAAGTGATTTTAAGTAGAAAAGTTATCCTTTAAAGCCTAGGTGTCTTAATTGATTCGAAAAGATCTTCAGCCCTTTTCAGTTGCTCCTATTTATTCATTCCGGTGGCTTTCGGTAAATGATGTCATTGTTAAATCATGTTGCATTGTGTAATGTGGCCATTTTAGTTTTTAATTAAACAACAAGAGCACAAGGGTGCCTGGTGTTTCAGAAAACTTTAGTATCAGTTCAGTTCTCATATCCCCCTTTCCTTTTAATTGTTCCACTTTGCAATGTAGCATGTAAATGTTGCCACTAATAATTTAATTCTGATCATTCTTTGCTTCTAATTGTTTTGTTTGCCCTCTTTGGAAATGTTTTAAACTGTAAGATGAACATCTGTAGAAAAGGTTTATGTAAGTAATGTATAAGTAATGCTTTGTAAGTTACTTATTGGGGATCTGTAAACAATGTATAATAGTTGAAATGTTTACTTTGTTGTTTAATTGAAAAACAAGCATATTCTTCATATTTCTTACAGAAGGTATATCTTAATAGCACTGTCTCTTTCTCTGATATTTAACACTTATACAGATCTGGCGTTTGGAAGGATTGTTTTAAAATGTATTGCCTACACTGTAAGTAGATTGTTAATACTATGCTACAATTTCTTTTAGAATTGTTCTTAGCAGACCCTGAAAAAGTTTCTGTAGAAAGAGTATTTTTGAGTTGGTTGCAGATCTTGGCTGTAATTTCAATTTGTACTTTTGCTCCAATGTTTTTAAAACTCTGAATGGTTTATGGAAATTGGGCAGTGTTACTTGTTTGACAAGTTTGGATGTGCCTATCTAATTTACCTGAATCCTCCTCCTCATACTGTATCTATGTACAAAATAAATAATCATTAAAAAATTTCAAAGAAGGAGTTAAAAT